TGACATCGTCAATGAAAATGAATAAACTGAATCCAGTACATGTGTTTTGTATTACTGTATTACTTGTTCGTCTATTGTTCTCATTACCTTTTTTGGTAGGGGGTGACAAGACTTTCGGACTTGTACACGCTGTTTATCGCTAGAATATAAATAAAAAAAAAAAACATTAATATTTTAATTACATTTTCTTTATGTTATATATACGTTATAATATGCTTTACTATGTAGATATCATTCCAAAATAAAAATTGTACAGTGTAGATATTTCTTCATTGACGATAACAGGCCAAAGTAGTAACTATTGCCTAAAAGAAGGTACCCTATAGATTTAGTAATTAGTAAGTGTAATTGGTTTAATTAATACCCACTAAACTAGGATGCAGAAATTATTTAAGCCATTTAATCAGCTTTTTTCAACCAGAGTTCCCCGGAAACCTAAAGTCCCGCAAAAGGTACCCAAGGATTCCCTGAGAACAGGTGAGATAAGCTAATGCACTTTTGACTTTTTATTTAATTTCATATAAGTAAAATTACTAAACACCCTAATATATTCTTAGTTATTGTAATATTGTAATATAGACATGTGTGACTGAAAACTCCATGTTGAAATATTATAAACGAACAGTATGAATTTTATTTAGCATTACCGAAAATTTTGACAAAGAAGTATTAATTCTTCCTTAAACTAGTTATTCAAAAATACGAGGGTCATTCAATAAATAAAGTGAATTTTTCGGTATAAGGACTTCTAATACAGATAGAAGATTACTTTTTTTTTTATTTTTCAACGTAGTCTCCCACCACTGTCACACACTTTTCCCATCTGTGCACAAGCTTCCGTATTCCCTCAGCGTAAAAATCTTTGGACTGATGTCTCAGCCAGTCGCTCACAACACTTTTGACTTCATCGTCACTTTTAAACTTCGTGCTTCTCGTGAACGCTTTCAAAGGACCAAACAGGTGAAAGTCTGAAGGGGCAAGGTCTGGGCTGTAAGGGGGATGAGGGAGCAGGTCCCAGCCCAGCTCGTTGATGGTCTCCACCGTTTGGGCTGCTGTGTGAGGCCTTGCGTTGTCATGATGCAAGATGACTCCTTCTGACTGATGACCCCTGCGTTTGTTCTTTATGTCTTTCTTGACCTGCCCCAGCAGTTCACATTAGTTCTGTCAGACTGAATGAGGTCATTGACTGATACGATCACCTCAGGATACCTCACTCCTGTAGGCCTCCCAGGCCTGTCTTCATCCTTAACACTGCTCCGTCCTTCTTTAAACAATTTAGCCCACTTGTAGACATTTTTTGGCTGAAACATGTGGCACCATACACAGTTGACATTCTCCTATGAATTTCAACTGGTTTGCACCCTTCAGCAACCAAAAACTTGATAACTGACGCTGTTCCATCCTGGAGAAAGCTTCTTGGTCGGCCATCTTTGTTAATCGCCAAAAGATTTTTTTAATCTGCAAAAGAAAATAAATCCATGTGAAAAAGAAGTAAAAAAAAAAGAAAAAAAAAGTAAGCTTCTATCTGTATTAGTAGTCCTTATACCGAAAAATTCCCCTTATTTATTGAATGACCCTCGTATATAGTATGATATTTACCACGTGAACTACGAGGAAAATAAAATGAGAAAGATATGGTAAATAATTTTGTTTTTACGCAGGGGTTCCTTAATTTATTTTAAGGGTTACGCAAGGGGAAAAAGGTTGAGAAACCAGCACCAGAGTGTTATCCAAGAATCGATTTTTTGGAATACTCCAGAATGTTATATAATATTAAAAAAAGTTACATTTATGAGATAATCCCCTTCCTAGAATAAGAAGAAACATACTTTTCCCTGAAATTTCCTCATCTTTCTGTTCAAAGTTTTGTCATACTCTGTTTGAGAAAACATTTGATGCCTGTATGAAATCTGTCAAAAATAAAAATTCATTTAGGCGATCACGACTCTCCACAATCTCCTGTCATGTAACTATTAATAACATTTGTGTTTTTGTTATCGCCCTGTTATGAACTGTCTGCATCTATGCATCTAGCTTTCAATTTGTCCTGTGAGTATCAAATCTTCCAAGCACTCTTTTCTCATTATGTAGCCTATAAATTTCAACTCTCTTCCTGATACAAAGTATAAGTGTCCTTTTTGTTTCCATTTTCTCTAAAACTTCGTCGTGGCTCCCATGTTCGGTCCATAATATTCTCAGCATGCTTCTGTAGAACCACATTTCTGTTGCTTCAAGTCTCTTCTTCATGTTTGATCCATGGTATCCTCTCTTCCCGATGTTAAGTATAAGTGTCCTTTTTGTTTCAATTTTCTCTAAAACTTTGTCGTTGCTCACATGTTCGGTCCATGGTATTCTCAGCATGCTTCTGTAGAACCACATTTCTGTTGCTTCAAGTCTCTTCTTCATGCTCCATTCATGGTATTCTCTCTTCCCGATGTTAAGTATAAGTGTCCTTTTTTTTTCCATTTTCTCTAAAAATTCGTCGTTGCTCATACGTTTAGTCCTTTCTTCTCGCTTTCCTTCACTACCTTCTGTTCGAGTTCTTGCAGTTTCCTTTCTGTGTCTGCTATCAATACTGTGTCATTTGCATGTCTTATGTTGTTAAGATTATAGCCACCAATAACGATTCCTGGTAAAACTTCTAATTCTCCCAGAATTACCTTAATTAATTGTTTTCCTTTAATTCTATGTTCCGAATAACCATTTTTTTCAAGAAATAATTTTCAATTGTTTTCTTAATTCTTTTTCGAATAACCATTTTTACGAGGAATAATTTGATGAAAGGAAGACTGTCCCAATAGTAGAATTTGTAAGTTAACAAAAAATGACGCAGATCTTCATTTTCGCGCACAAATCCTCAAAGATGTAGAAGAGATTTGAAGCAATAAAAATATGGTCCTACAGAAGGACGCTGAGAAAATCATGGACCGAATATATGAGCAACGACAAAGTTTTAGAGAAAATGCAAGCAAGAAGAAGACTTATACTTAACGTCCGAAAGAGGCAGTTGAAATTTCTAGGGAATATAATGAGCAAAGAGTGCTTGGAAAATTTGATACTCACAGGACAGAAGGCAAGAAGGAGAGAGGAAAACAACGCATAACATACTTAGTGATCTTGAGCAGATGGATCGCGGAACAGGATTTAGGAGAAATAACAATGAGACCATTTATTAAGTAGCTGCAAAAGACAAGGAAATTGTGGAGAGCCATGATCGCAAACTCTTGAAGTGAGAAGAAGAAGAAGAACGATCTTATGTAAAAACAATTTATTAAGAGCTACAAAGGATGGGAAATTGTGGAGAACCATGATCGCCAACGTCCTTAATGGACAAAGAAGAAGAAGAAGAAGAGGAAGATGAGGCTTGTGTAAATGGAGAGTGGAACAAGGTTTAAGAGAGATAAAAGAAAAAAATAATTTATTAAGAGCTACAAAGACAGGAAATTGTGGAGAGCCATGATTGCCAATGTCTTGAAGGGACATAGAAGAAGAAAGACGAGCTTGTGTAAATGGATAACGGAACAAGGTTTAGGAGAGATATCAAAAAGACAGTTTATTAAGAGCTACAAAGGACAGGAAATTGTGGAGAGCCATGATCACCAACGTCCTAAAGGGACTAAAAAGAAGAAGAAGAAGAAGAAGAAGAAGAAGAAGAAGAGGCTTGTGTAAATGGATAACGTAACAAGGTTTAGGAGAGATAACAAAAAGACAATTTATTAAGAGCTACAAAGGACAGGAAATTGTGGAGAGCCATGATCGCCAAAGTCTTGAAGGGACATAGAAGAAGAAAGACGAGCTTGTGTAAATGGATAACGGAGCAGCGTTTAGGAAAGATAACAAAAGCACAAAATTTATTAAGCGCTACAAAGGAGAGGAAATTGTGGAGGGCCATGATCGATAACGTCGTGAAAGGACATAGAAGAAAAAGGGCGAGTTTGTGTAAATGAATAGCGGAACAAGGTTTAGGGGAGATAACAAGAAGACAAAAATTATTACGATCTACAAATAACAGGAAATTGTGGAGAGCCATGATCACCAACATCCTGAAGGAACATGGAAGAAGAAAGACGAGCTTATATAAATGGATAGTGTAACAAGGTTTAGGAGAGATAACAAAAAGACAATTTATTTAGTGCTACAAAGTTCGGGAAATTGTGGAGAGCCATGATCACAAACGTCCTGAAGGGATACGGTACATAAAGAATAAGAAGCATATTGTTTTGTTGAACAAAATTGCTTCTTGCGCAACTATATACATACACCACTGTATTTAATGTGTTTAATTCCTTTTCAAAGGCATGAACTTGCTCAATCAGTAATGGACAAATTTTGAACTTGGAAAATAATGTATTCTTTAAGTTTATGTCTTAAATATTGAACAGTTCGGTCGGAGAGAAACGATCGACAAGGCAGAGCTAACTGGTTATTGATAAAAAAGCCAATTACCAATTAATGATAATATAAAATTGACTCGCAGTTGTAACAAAAAAATAACACACACAAGACACAAGAGAATAAGTGTAGGCTGAAGAATATTCTTTCTTGGGAAATTTTTAACATTGCAATTTGTTTACAACGGCGAATTTCCAACGCAAATGAATTCTTCGTCGCAGCCGGATCAAAACAGAAACGTTTCGTTGTGTTTTTGAAACAGCCTGTCCTGAACCTGGGGAATATTTGATAAGAGAGTGGGGTGAACTTTGGCAATATTTTACGCTCACCAGCTTGTAAATGAGCCCGGTTCTAATCGTATTTGTCGATTGCGGGTACTGCTCGGTGGGGCTGCAGTGTATCGAGATTTCGTTGCTGTCATTCAAAGAAGAAACCACTTAAAATAAAAAACAAACAAACAACAAACAAATATAAGTAAAAACAACAACAACGACCCAAGGGAGAATTTCGCAAGAGTTTTTTTTTTTTTTTTGTCACAGTGAACTATGAACAAATAACGTCTTACGCTTTATTGCAGATAAATATTTGTGTCCGCATTTAAAATAAATGCCTAAGCCACCGAAACTGTGTTACCTCCCCTGGTTAGTGGCTGATGGGGGCAGGGTATCGCGCCTGCTATCACACGTTCTACGGAGAAAACTGAAAATTGCATATTTGTCAATATGTAATTGCATGAATAATATATACAGAAACAAATCTAGTAAGCAATTTATGACAAAATGAACTTTTAAAAAAAAATTAATTCATCCCAGGCAAGGTGATAATTAGAATAATTTAAAGGAACCGGAAACAAATTTCAGAGTTTAAACGGAGACGTTAGAAGTATAGAGTTGAAGTAGATTTTAGAAGGAACTGGAAACCCAGTCTTGAACAAGAAACAAGGGATAAACCGCTACTCCTATTCAAAAGATTGGGGAGGAGTGTGAGCCTGGCAATAGTCGCCTATCTACTCATATTGAGGAGAAAATAAGTAGTAAATAAAATTTCAGAGTTCAATCGGAGACGTTAGAAGTATAGAATTGAAGTAGACTTTAGAAGGATACCGGAAACCCAATCCTGAACAAGAAACAAGGGATAAACCGCTACTCCTATTCAAAAGAGTCGGGAGGAGTGTGAGCCTGGCGATAGTCGACTATCTACTCATATTGAGGAGAAAATAATTAGTAAATAAAATTTCAAAGTTCAATCGGAGACGTTAGAAGTATGGAGTTGAAGTAGACTTTAGAAGGAACCGGAAACCCTGTCCTGAACAAGAAACAAGGGATAAACCTCTCCTCCTGTTCAAAACAACGAGGAAAAGTGTGAACCGGACAATAGGTAAACCCATCTGAACCTATTGTGGAAAAAATAAGTAAATAGTACCAGTTTCAGAGATTAGGGGGTTACTAATACGCAAGGGAGCTATTGGAAGTGAAAAGGAATTAAAATAATTGACACTCAATAATAGAACAATTTTCAGATTTTAGACGGAAACTTTAGAAGTATAGAGTTGAAAGAGACATTAGAAGGAACCGGAAAACCAATCCTGAACAAGAAACAAGGGATAAACCTCTACTCCTATTCAAAAGATTGGGGAGGAGTGTGAGCCTGGCGATAGTCGCCTATCTAGTCATATTGATGAGAAAATAATTAGTAAATAAAATTTCAGAGTTCAAACGGAGTCGTTAGAAGTATAGAATTGAAGTAGACTTTAGAAGGAACCGGAAACCCAATCCTGAACAAGAAACAAGGGATAAACCTCTACTCCTATTCAAATGAGTGAGGAGGAGTGTGAGCCTGGCGATAGTCACCTATCTACTCATATTGAGGAGAAAATAATTAATAAATAAAAATTCAGAGTTTAGACATAGACGTTAAAAGTATAGAGCTGATGCAGACTTTAGAAGGAAGCGGAAACCCAATCCTGAGCAAGAAACAATGAATAAACCCCTATTCTTGATTAAAACTAACCTCAATAACAGCGTTTAAAGCCATTAAATAAAATTAAATTAAAATGTCCCCATTTCCCGTCATCGCAAAATATTTATAAAATAACGATCAATTTCCTTTATCGCTTTAGAAATACTCTGCTTTTATAAGGGCTACCTCTGACCAAGAATGCCGTATTTCCGCCATATCTGTGCTGTCGCTGTCGCTGCCCGGTCCTCACACTCCTGCCGCGAGAGAGTTCAAAAGAGATTACACAGCCTTGTCCTACTGATGAAACGAGCTCGAACCTACGCCGCTAGGACCCGCCATTCCATGTTTCCGGGTAGCAAACCATTCCCCATTCGCGTCCTTCAATGAAGAGAACGTTCCACCCAGACAGCTTCTTCCCCGGAATGGTTGCTTTGTGGAGCCGACACCCGAAAGGATACTCTCTCCTTCCAATTCCCTTACAACACTCTCACTGTGTTATTCTATCTTGAGTGGCTCTTGGCCTTGTATAGTGTAAGCTAAGAATAAAAAATGAAAAAGAAAAATCCCCTAGTCCCATTCTGAAAATAAAGGCGTGTTTAATGTTTCATGTCAGACTAAAGATATTTGAAATGTTCTCGACTCCATCCACTTCTTAAAAATTGAACAAATATTAGCATCCGTTTGCGAGGTTCTTGATAGAGCGAAGAATTTTTGTGTACTCATTCTTTATCTATCTATCTATCTATCTATCTATCTATCTATCTATCTATCTATCTATCTATCTGTTTCAGTCTATCTATCTATCTATCTATCTATCTATCTATCTATCTATCTATCTCAGCCATTCCATATAATATATCTACCGATCTATCTATCTATCTATCTATCTATCTATCTATCTATCTATCTATCTGCTTTAATCTATCTCAGCCAGTCCATATAATCTATCTATCTATCTATCTATCTATCTATCTATCTATCTATGTTACTTCGATGCAGTGTTACAAGTTTAGCAAGTTTGCTAGATTAATTATGATTGAATAGTGAGTACCATACTCACTGTGTGCTCCCAAATCTAAGTTCCGCTCATTAAAATCATTATCTATCTATCTATCTATCTATGTTGATGTCTACGAGGGAGAAGACTGAATGTTTCTCGATCCAAGTCACTTCACAAACCCAGACCCAATGACCAAACTTATGTATTTCCTTTCGAAATTCAAAGTTAACGAATATTTAATTTTATTTAGACTGCTATTTATTGACTGAATTAAATTGAAGTTAATTCTATTATTTGATGAATTTAAAGTGATAATGTAAGAATTGTGTAGGGTCATGGCTTTGGTGGCATAGTAATTGCGAATTCAGACCCTCTGTGGATTAGTGTAGACTTTGACTGATTGGAAACAGAAGAGAGCAATAACTGAGCAGTACTAAAAATAAGAACTAGACGAGATATCCCAAGACATGCTCAACGAAACGAAAACAATCTGTTCCCGTTGATTAAATAAAGTTTTTAGTTCGAAATTCCCTGAAGGTTTACCGGATCGAGAAGCACCTGAAGAAGACCAGAGAACACGACGGTCGAAACGTTGTAATAATAATAACAACAACAAAGACTCGCATTCTTACAGACTTCTCCGTCTTTTCTTCTTCTTTAGTCGCCAGCCTCGCTAGGTTTCTTGCGTAATAGTGACTTTACGGGTCACCCGGCTTTCTTTTCGCTCCTCAGTTGGAGCCGGTATGTCGTTTCGATAGGGTTGATTCGGGTTTTCCAAAATCTTTCGCTATTGGGATTGACGGCGAAGTGTGGGCCCCACTCTGTACGTTGTGTACTACATACAAGCTGGCGTAATTCTTGTCTGTGGTCGTGGTAACATTTGTACCTTTGTGGCCAAGTGCAGGTCGGAATCAGGCTGGAATAAAAACTCCTTCACTAAAAAGCACAACACTGTTGATAACTCTAACAACAGGTTTATTGAATACTAGCAGGAGAGCCCGGTGTTTCCCGGGGATGTAACAGTAAGAGATAGATCAAGTATCGACCATCATAAAGACTGAAAATAAAATTGACAAAGATTATTGTTTAAGGTTGACGGACACGCTTGTCTTAATTAGTTTTTTTTTTTTTTTTTACGAATCGGTCAAACCCAAACTCAAACAAAAAAACATTGTTTTCAATCGTTATCGATTGAATAGAATTTTATTATAAACAATTGTCTTGTAAATGCAATTTTTAAAGCATTCTGAATGTAAAAATAAAGAAAAAAGTGTGCAAGGCAATAAGAAACACTACCTGCCAAAAAAAAAACGTGAAGTTTTGTTGAAATTGGTTGAAAAATGTAGGAAATCCGATCCCATATATAAACGAACACACACACACACACACACACACACACACACACACACACACACACCCTGGGTTTTATAATAAGTATAACTCGATATGAGTTGTCCCCCTTTCATTCTTGCGATGCGTCTTAATCGTGTTTTCAAATTGATTTCATGCAAAAACAATTGTGTTTTTCCAATTTTTGGCGCTGTCAGAACCACCGCAAGGTAATTTTACGTAGTCCTGTGAAGTTTTGTTGAAATCGGTTGAAAAATGTAGGAAATCCGATCCAATATATAAACGTACACACACACACACACACACACACACACACACACACACACACACACACACACAGCCTGGGTTTTATAATAAGTATGATTAAGAAAAATTGGTTGAATAAAATGTCTATTATCTACGGCAAAATCAAGTTTTCTACTGCAGGTTGACGATTTGGTAAATCCAGTCGCAAACGTAAAGTAATGAGTTGCCGGTCCGATTTTCAGTCAATTCTTCTGTCATGCGTGTGTCTGTGTTTTCGATCCAGCCACGGGAATTGCGGTTGTGCTCTTTAGCGATGACTGTCTTACGTGAAATCCCGGACCGCTCCGAGCCGATGTCTCCTGGGCTTGTCTTTGCTTGTTTTCGCCCCGGCCAAAGGAAATGCGACTTGACCGAATCACTGACGACGTCCCTTGTGACCGATTCTCCTTGGAAATGTTCTTAAATTCATTTTTTTTAAAAATTATTTATGACATAAATTTCAACGCGTTTCTTTCTTATTTTCTTTTCTCAACCATTTAACTTACTCTCCGGAGTATTTTAATAATTGTTATCCAATTAATACTCCCGCCAAATCACAATTCTGTAAATTCATACAATTAAACGTCTAAACAGGGTCAGTGCACTGTTATAAAAAGACAATAATCTGGGCGCCTCGGTTTGGTGTAATGGCTAACAAGCTGGTCTTGCTAAAACTGTTACAACTAAATAGGGAATTCGTTCCTCACTGGGTGTTCCATACTTTCGGCCATGTGCCACATCTAAGCTTAGAAAATCAATACAAGGACAATAATTCTAGTGTAAATAGTAACTCCTCATACCAGAAATTCAGACAGGAAAAAAATCGTTTGTCACGTGACCTGCTCTGACAACATCGCAGTGAAAATATTTCTTTTACTAGATATCTTCTAGCTGACTTTTTATTTTTTTTTAAAGAGCTTCTTGTTCGGGTCGAGGCCCTTTACTGCTCCCGATTTAGTAGATTGTCTAACTAATTGTAAAGCAGTTTCTTTAAATAATGTTTTTCAAAACTGAAATCGGCGGGTCGCGTAAAAGGATTGAATTAGAAAAAGAAAAGAAAAAGCAACTTGATTATAGTGTTTATGTAATATTTAAAAATATTTTAGCGATTTTCCATATCATACAAAATAGGGCACGTGGGACTGTTCCACATTACAAAATATTCAGATAGAAGCTGTAGAAGCCGGTCTGTCCTGCTATTTACCCATAGCTAGGGGGAGAAGAAGAGGATTCATACCTTTCCCAAGGGTATTAGCACGTAAGTGAATGTAATGGATTCAACTGGACAGTCAGTCAGTCAGTCAGTTATGTGCCATGCGTGGTAAACGCTTAGGTGATCATGTATCTTTCGATACATGACTGACGAGGCAGACTTTCCCGCAGTAGGTTGCCATTTCTTTCTGCGGTAGACCAGTTGCCATCCAAGGCTATAGAACCCTGTCTGTCCGTCTATTTACCCATAGCTAAGGGGAGAAGAAGAGGATTCATACTTTTCCCAAGGTTATTAACACGTAAGTGAATGTAATGAATTTGAATGGAATATCAGTCAGTCAGTTATGTGCCATGAGTGATACACGCTTAAGCGATCATGTATCTTTCGATGCATGACTGACGAGGCAGACTTTTTCCCGTAGTAGGTTGCCATTTCTTTCTGCGGTAGACCAGTTGCCATCCAAGGCTATAGAACCAGGACTGTCCAGCTATTTACCCATAGCTAGGGTGAGAACAAGAGGATTCAGTTTATTTTCATGAAATTAGTTTTACTTCAAAATAAAGCATATGTATTTATATGTGTTTATCATTACAGAGCAAATAAATATTCTCTCAGTTATGTACCATGCGTGACACACGCTTAGGCGATCATGTATCTTTCGATGCATGACTGACGAGGCAGATTTTTTTTCCCCACAGAAGGTTGCCATTTCTTTCTGCGGTAGACCAGTTGTCTTACAAGGCTACAGAACCTGGTTTGTCCTGCTATTTACCCCTAGCTAAGGGGAGATTAAGAGGATTCATACCTTTCCTAAGGGTATTAGCACTTAAGTGAATGGATTCGACTAGAATTCGAACTCGGCTCCCCGATTACCTCAGTCCATTAACATTACCTCAGTCCATTACTCCATCGTGCCTTCTAGATAGAAGCCACTATATCTTTTTTTCCTTTTTTTTTTTTTTGCATTTAGAACAGACCCTAAGAAATTTTCGCTGTTTTTAAGAATAGCCCCACACCTTTCGTTATATTTCGATACATTATGGCGAATATTTCTACGTTTTCTTTTTAATTATATATCTCTTCAGATCTCCTCTTTCTTTAATATCTGTGAATTTCCATGACTACTTGAGAAAGACAGTGAAGTGGTTACCCGCTGACTACACCAAGGTTTTGAATTTAGAGCGTTTTTTTGTTTTGTTTTGTTTATTTTTCACCTTCGGTACGCAGGGAAGAATCGCTCTACGCAGTGTCCTTTCTTTTATTATGCGTAAATTGCCATGACTTCTCCAGAAAGAAAGTGCAGTAGTTCACATTGCCTACCCCAGGGTTTTGAATTCAGAGCAGGTTTTCTACCCTTGATACCCAGAGAATCATGGCTCTCCACAGTTTCTTTTCTTTTATTATGTGTAAATTGCTAGGACATTGAGAACGATATTGGATTAGTTTCCCATTGTGTACTCCAGGGTTTAGAATTCATAGGAGGATTTCTGCCCTCGGAACGCAATGCGTTAACAGCCCTCCACCGTTTCCTCTTCTTTATTATGTGCGAGTTACCATGACTTCTTGAGAAAGAGAGTGGAGTAACTTCCCGTTGTCCACTCCACGGTTCTGAATTAAAAGCAGGCTTTTTAACCTCGGAACGTGTGTGATCATGGCTCTCCACTTTTTCCTTTTCATTATTATGTGTGAGTTACATTGAATTCTTGAGAAAGATAGTGGAATGGTTTTTCGTTGGCCAACTGCGCGGTTTCTAATTCAGAACAGGCTTTCTAACCTCGGAACGTGTGTGATCATGGCTCTCCACTTTTTCCTTTTCATTATTATGTGTGAGTTACATTGAATTCTTGAGAAAGATAGTGGAATGGTTTTCGTTGGCCAACTGCGCGGTTTCTAATTCAGAACAGGCTTTTAGTAACCTCGGAACGTGTGTGATCATGGCTCTCCACTTTTTTCCTTTTCATTATTATGTGAGTTACATTGAATTCTTGAGAAAGATAGTGGAATGGTTTTTCGTTGGCCAACTGCGCGGTTTCTAATTCAGAACAGGCTTTCTAACCTCGGAACGTGTGTGATCATGGCTCTCCACTTTTTCCTTTTCATTATTATGTGTGAGTTACATTGAATTCTTGAGAAAGATAGTGGAATGGTTTTTCGTTGGCCAACTGCGCGGTTTCTAATTCAGAACAGGCTTTCTAACCTCGGAACGTGTGTGATCATGGCTCTCCACTTTTTCCTTTTCATTATTATGTGTGAGCTACATTGAATTCTTGTGAAAGATAGTGAAATGGTTTTTCGTTGGCC